ATTAAGCAACAAAAATAAGCATGAATGCATCAGATAACCTAATTGTGTGAAATAATCACTAGTCTTTATACTTTTTGTTAAGGCTATCTCCAACCGAAGGGTCCAGAGGGCCAGAGGGCCGAAAATAGCCCTAAAACCGTCTCCAACCGAGGGCTAGGCCAGAGGGCTCTGGAATCTGGGAGGGCCCCACGGGATCGGAGAGGGCTGGAGGGCTGGAGGGCTGGCTGCTTTCGGCCAGCCAGCCAGCCCCGGGGCTGGCTATTTTTTTTTTTAATGTTTCCTATTGCTGTCGGTTAAAACCGACAGCATTAAAGAGCTTTTTTTTTTTTTAAATAGTTCTACTATTAGTGTCGGTTATAACCGACACTAATAGTTTGAAATGTTTTTGAATGTAACGGCTAGTAGCCGTTGGATTATTAGGCCTCTCTTTTTTTTTTTTTTTTTTTTAATGAATTTAAACTTCTTTTTTTTTTTAATGAATTTAAAATTTTTTTTTTCCCTTTTTTTTTCCTTTTCATATGAATCAAATTTTTTTTCATATTTTTTTTCCTATAACTTCTATTTTACAAAATTTGTTTCATATTTTTTTTCAATTCTATTTTTTTCGTATAACTTCCTAGGCCATTTATACAACATTAAATTGTAGTTTTTAAATAATAAATTATGTTTGGCCCTATGGTCCTTTGACCCTCGGTTGGAAACGGTTTTTTGTGACAGGGCTAAAACGAGCCCTTTGGCCCTCTGGCCCTCGGTTGGAGACGGTGGCAAATATGGCCCTGTACTGTTCATTAAAATATTAATATCTTGGGGAATCTTGGAGGGCCAGAGGGTTCAAACGAGCCATCTGGCCAGCCCTCGGTTGGAGATTGCCTAAGTAGTGTGGTTAATGACCAGCCACTGCCGAACGCAGAAGATGAGAGGCAGATTACATCACCTATATATTGCATGAAAATTGAAACCCTAGCAAGGCGAGGTTTCTTAAGAAAGTACGCAAGCCATTAATGGCAGCAAGCAGTGACGGAAAGTTTCGGGATGGCCACATGTCTAGTCTGCACTGTGCACTGTGCACTGCACCGCACCAGTCCATCGAACAAGAACAGTAATAACAAGAGCTGAAACGTGCACGTTTTGAGAGAGCTGATTAGTGCGCTGATTAGAAGAGGAAACAAGTAGTTTTTGGGAAAATTTTAAGGGTTGGGATTGATGGAAAAATGAAAAACTTTCTTTTTGGTGTGCGTGAAGGAATTCCAAAAATGGAAGATTGAGAAAGATTTCTGAAGTGACTTTGCGTGAGAAAAGCAGATGAGAAAAATCAATATGGCTATGCAATTTGGCATCACTTTAAGGTTAAAAGCAGAGCGACTGGCAGTGCTTCTGCCAAAAGCCTTTTTCCCCTAACTGTTGAGGTGAGTTCTTACGTATCTGTGACTGTGAGACAACAGCGGATTTTATTGATAGAATTCTCATTCATTCTCCTTTCTTTCTTACATATTATTTTTTGTTTTACTGTTTTTATAAAAAAATTAATATAAGATATTAACGTAAATAAATTGTAACGGTTCAAATATGAAAGAAAGGAAGGAGAGACGGATTAGGAGGTCCTTTATTGATTCCCTGCTAGAGTGGTTCTGGTTCTGGACGATGGATTGATAATATGTTTTGATTTCTCACTGTGTGTTTTCGTTGACGTGTTATTAGATTGTAGGTGGATGTTTAATTTTGTATTATTGATGAGAGAATATTACACTATTTCTATTTGGGTTTGGCTGGCTACGGTTCATGAGATTAATCCTTTCTTTTTATTTTCTTTTTTCGAATTGAACTGTTATTAACATTCTAAAATTTCATTTTACGCTCATAAGTTTATTTTTCTTTTTAATTATAAAAAATTTAGAATGCAAAATAAAATTTTTGAAATTCTAATAATAATTCTTTTTTTGAAATATTTTATTTTTGGAAATGATAATTTGTGATCAATGAACTCAAGTCCAAACAAATTACAAAACCATACATAAACAAAGAAAGACATAAAATATAAGACATACCCAAACAAAGGAGAGCTACAACCCAAGACATAAAAGGAGACCCACACAACCTGAGGCCCGTAGGCAATAATAAAAAAGCAACAACAAAAACTTTAAACTCTAGCTGCCAAACATCAGTCACCGCCGCCACTTCCTCCGCGAAGGAAGACATCGCCCCAAATTGAAAAGAGCACCCGAACCAAAAAAATTAGATATGAGAGTGTTGCGCATAATCAATCCACAAACTACAAAGAACCAAAACCTTCACAACCACACATGCGAGGAAGATCACAAAACGTAATAGGAGGAGGGAAAGGGAGGGCAAAGGAGGGGGTGTAATGTTCCGAAGTGAATCGCTCCACACTTCACCCAATTTTTCTGGCAAGCCGTATTAGTAGTGGCTATGAGGGTTGAGTCTTGTGTCAAAATAGAGACCAACACTTAGAGATCTAAATTTTTGGGTTGGAAAAGATGAGAGGAAGCAAGGGAGAGGTAAGAAAGAAGCGTGCGATGGGGAGGGAAAATGGGGTTGCCATTGATCCTAAAGCCAAAGGCTAGGGGCGGCGGCTATAGTTGGCTTTTCCTTTGGAAGCTTTTAGAGAGAGTCTAACTAGAATATATAATGTGTTTAAGTTTTACTATCTAAGCTTAATTCATTTTTTTTCTCTCGTAATTTAGACCAATTTATTTTCTTTCTGTTAGTTATAATAGAAACGAATAATTGAATTTTTCGATTCCATTATTCTTATGGGTTTACTGATAATAAAATCATTTTAATTCCTGACTTTTTATGTGTTTATGAACATGTAAGAAACGAGACAAAGAAATATGTGTCCATGTAATTCAATGTCCGAAATATCAAGAACCAAAATAAAACTCCACGAGCCCTCACTTGCGGTCTTATGCCCTTCAACAAGTGTTTGTTAGAGTTATGTAGGCCAACCAACCAACCCAACCCAAGAGCTAGCCTGGGCCGAAGATCATGAACAGTATGTCAAGCCCCTCAACCTCCTGTGAACCTCGCCAATATTCAATTGTCGACGGACCAATTTCGGGTCAACTTGTTTACATTGGACTTTTCTAGGACTTCTGATCGTATTTGGGACATTGTTGTTTTTCATTTCGATAGAAAATTCAATCCTCCAACACAACTCAAGATAAAATAACGTTAAAAACGTCGGTACCCTCGAAGACATATATATTCATGAAATGAGGGCATTTGCGTTGCTGGTAGTGATATGGAGACTAAATTTTTAAACAAAATTTTGTAAATTAAATGACATAGCATTACCCTTGCGTTGCATGTACTTCATTTTCGAAATAAATTTGAAGTGGAGCAAGAAGAATTGGTGCAACTAATTATTAATTCAAGTGACAAATTGAGCATTTATTCCATTTGTAACAGTTAAAAAAAGGGAAAATGTGGTGTTTAATTAACTTTTTATTCGTAGAGATTAAAGGCTAATGAGATTCTATTCTTTCAATTTAGGGTTTATATCTTTTGCATTTGGTTTCTATGTGGCTTCTCTATAACTTTTATCATTGATTGGCATGTATTGATAAACTTAATCCTCCTTAAGTTGGTTGTCATAAATTTTGCAAGAGCTATAGAGAAGTAACACACAAAACGGGTGTAGAAGATTTGATCTTTTCGTTTTCTATAGAAGCTAATCCTACTATTCCAACACATGGAATCAACGTCAAAGAAGAAGACACGTGGACATAATTCACTAGAAAATTGAAGTTCGCCAAAAGATGTGAAACATGTCAAATGTGGGGATTGAAACACTCAGATTTGCTTTGCGCTGATTATTGGAGAAGTTGCGAGTGAGCATGACAATTGCAAGAATAAAAAGCGTGAAAATGAAAGCGTTTTGAGGCTTTCTAATCGAAAGAGGTGTCAAGTTTGGAGTGGTTAATTCCCATTCATGCATCTAGACCATCGGACAAGTGGTTGCCATCGTCCAAATTCCTTCGGTTTTTGTCTTTTGAGACCTTTGGCATTACACTATATAAAGTTATGTACACTATATAAAGTTATGCTGAAAGAAGGGACTGGCATTTTTCAGGGTACAATCACATTGTCAAATGATATTACAAATTCATTTAAGTAGTAACATGCGTATCAATTGAACTTGAGAACAATGACGGATAATAATATCATGCACCAATACTATAATATATATGTGAAGTTATAACACCATATGAATGTGCGATCTGCACGAGAGGTTCTCTCATATAAGAGGTTTTAGTTTCAATAACGTTATTGTCCAACAACACAGAATGCACCACATGTCCAATGAACGATGTGACATGTGTGGTATTGTGAGAGGAAATAATTTCTTAATCAGTAGCCATAGCTAGAGTATTTGGAAAGGGAGAGATGAGAGTGCAGCTGCATCGTTGAACATCCCATACCGTTGGTTGCCAGAGATTCTAAATTGTAACACTTTTTCCAGGCTTGTTGATAAGAGAAAAATACATATATTTCCTTAATTTCTAAAGTTAGAAAGAAATGATGTGCATACAGAGAATTATTAAGCACCTCTAAAAGATGAATTCCCATTTTCCCAAGATAATGTTTTTTAAGTAGAAAAAGGTTATATTCTTCGTTTTCATTAACCCAGTAAGGCAATGACATTAGATTCTACAGGGAGAGACAGCAATATATGTAACTTTATGCTTTCAGAGGGATCTCTTTGCTCATACTCAACAAAGTACTCATCCTTCTAATGGCTTCTTACCACATCTATCAAAGGATAGCTCGAATTTGAAAGCTTATATGACTTGCCCTTTCCCCGAACAGAAATTTTAAGACCACATCGGGAATCAAACTCGGAACATCAGATGCCTGAATAAATGCTTTTAATCAATTAATCTATAAACTTCTTGCTCCGGAACAGTAATTAATTAAGGAATATTAACCAATATTAGTTAATTTATGCTTCCTGCTGGACTGTTCTTGTGCCTATAAAAGCCAACGTAGTCTCGCTTCCAATGCATTGCTTCAACTTTCTAGCAGAAATTAAGATAACACATCTTCTGCAGTCTTTTCACTCCGTTTCTTTTCGTATACATGTCGAGGACGACGGAGCCATTGACGGTAGGAAGAGTGATAGGAGAGGTTGTTGACATCTTCACCCCAAGTGTGAAGCTGAATGTAGTTTACAATCCAAACAAGCAAGTTGCTAATGGACATGAGCTCATGCCTTCTGTCATTGCTGAAAAACCTCGCGTCGACATCGGCGGTGACGATATGAGGATTGCTTATACCTTAGTAAGTTAATTTCACCAATAATTAGTGATTGCTTATTTGCTGCGGCAAGATAATATGATACATTGATAGTACTAGTGTGATATAACTAACCTTTTCTTTTTTTCGGATGATAACTTCTGATGAAGATAATGACAGACCCAGATTATCCAGGCCCCAGCGATCCATACCTGAAAGAACATCTCCACTGGTTTGTATATTTTACTTGTCATACAAGCTCACATACTATAGTTTTAGATATATATATATATATAGTACCTTAATTATTTAACTTTCACAAAACTATATATTTCAGGATGGTCACAGACATTCCTGGGACCACTGATGTCTCATTTGGTAAGTAACTAAGTCATTGCCGACATGAATAATACATTGATACACACACACACACACACACACATATATATAGGGTTTAGGGCTAAATGAAGATTTGTTCTTAGCTAAATATAATATTTTGGGTTTTATATAATTAACAGGAAAAGAAACTGTGGAGTATGAAACTCCAAAGCCGGTCGTAGGCATTCACAGGTACGTGTTCTTGCTATTCAAGCAGAGAGGAAGACAAACAGTGAGGGCTCCAGCTTCCAGGGACAATTTCAACACCAGAAAATTCTCGCAGGAGAACGGTCTTGGGCTGCCTGTGGCTGCCGTCTATTTCAATGCACAACGAGAAACTGCTGCTAGAAGAAGATGATGAGTAATTACTACTGCATATAAATAAGATTAAAAATGTCATAAGAAGATTGGAGACTTGTATCTCCTGCTGTGCTGGTCTTCCCTATAGCGTGCAGAGAGGGCATGCATATGATCGTACGTATTAGGGTTTGTTATTTTGTACGCACATAGGTAACAACTTACTAGGTTGTACCAGGTTTCCGGGACAGTAGTAGGTCCCATATGTCGCTTTGTGGTTATCTGTTGATTGTTGATTGGTGATACGGCTCATGTAGCTAGGCATCATAGCTACGTGTCACCGTGCTATTGGGACGTGGCATGCATATAGGTAATTGATCGTTTCTAAGTTCTAATGTAATGGGGTCCTGACTACTAATAGTTGAAGAATTTACGGTGACAAACGATTTAGAGATGAAAAATGCATAAGACCAGATCCGAGACAAGCTCAAAGCAAGTTGAAAACTTAAAGAGCACTAGGACACAAAAAGCTCATGGCAATGGCATCCATGAACCATAGGGCCATAATGCGAAAGAGCAAGAGCACTAATTTCGCTTGCATTGTTGTTGTTTGGTGCACAATCTCTCTCAAAGAATGGAATTGGTTCAAAATTTGGAGGAGTTTTACGATTTAGGTGCACAATCTATTTAGGTTTAAATTTGAAATCAAGGTTTCGAAAAACATCCTAATGAGTCGGTCCAAAACCAAGTTATATAAAAAGGAAAGATGTAGCGAAATGATCTTTTTTCTTCTTTTCTTTGTTCACGTTCAATTACAATCAATGTTATTCCAAACATACAAATTTTACAGCCGCCGTAAATACCACATGAGAACATTACACTGTGCTGCCAACACCCAAATCCACCATGTAGCTCGCCGAACAAAAACCGGAGGCAAGCACGGGTTTGCATAATTTCATACACTTCACGGCCAGAAGGGATCAAACAAACAGCGTTCGACAATGCTGATGTGAAATCAAAATTCCTTTTGACTGAGGCACATGAGAAGGCACACCATCGTCATCAAACTCGTCAAGCATTTATTTCAGCATTGCACTGATGCTCCCTACTGCAGCTCCTTCTGCTCCAAAACATGTTTGAGCATGTTGTTTTTCCAAGTCTCGGCCCTTCCATCTTGTCCTGGTCTGTTGATGTTGCTTGGGGCCGTCTGGGCAATTCATCTTGAGTTTCTGCCTCCCGGGATTCAAATGAGGGGCATGGTCCATCATTGCACGTGCACAAAGGAATGGTGACAGAAGGAAATGGACTGCATGTGACTGGACAGAGCATATCCGAAGAAACTGAAGCCACACGGTTCTTTCGGATCTCTGGTGCACAAGCTGGAGAAAGACGCTCTGGGTCACGAGGGTGAAGTATACAAGGGGTACAAAGGCCAAGTGACATCTGTAATCTATTTTCCTTTGCTGGGGAGCCAGGCAATTTGACAAAAGAGATGATTCCGTGCCTACAAAGCGGGCATGGAATGGACCCAGGTGGGCACACCGTTTCCGAAGGTATGTTGCTCGTTGAGCAAAGATAGAGTGCGCATCTTACACAAAGCTCATGCTTACAGCCTGAAGGTACAAGTAAACAAAGGATGAGTATATCTTGTACATAAAAAAACTGAATTTCTATGACACTCATTCAGCTATACTATGGGAAAAGGTAGTTTGTAAAGTATCAGGAAAACATAAGACATGAAAAATAACCACTACGGGACAAACCTTCTGCAGCTACCGAACATGGTCTTTCCAGACAGACAGCACAAGTATCTGTGTCGTCGGTTGATGTTGTCACGGACTTAAATCCACATTCCCTGCAGTAAATTCCAAAGAACTTGAGTCTATGTGGTGGCACTAATACACATGGTAAAACTTTCTTAACTAAGGATTCGAATTTGTCTACGAGTTTGTGGCATCCTTTGGGTGAAACTCTCAACACCAAGCACAAGATATCCAGAAATTTGACATGTGTTAGCATCTATAGATGTACTTAGTTGAAGAGTTACCTCGCTATGTTCAATATGCTCATGAGAGGCAAGGATAGGTAATTAGATAGGGGGAACGCTGGTATTGTTGAGTCAGAATTGGGTGCTAGAAGTGGTTCAAGCCAGTGGCGCCCCCACATTCGGGCAACATCAACTGGAAGCCACCTGAAAGAATATGCTTCACATTAATCATTTCAATAGTAACTGAACATTATTGTGAAAACCAAAAGACCCATACCCAGTGCAGTTTAAAGTCGTCTTGCTGGCACCTCTTGCAAGGAGGATCTGAAAAAATACGGACACCATCAGTTTAAATCCCAAGAGAGAGAAACTAATTTACACACGCCGTCAAAACTAAAAAGTTCTTGCCTGACAGCACTTTAAGTTACCCCCACAAGCAGCATAATGCAGTGGAGAACTTCCAGCTCCTACAAAGAATAAACTTCCACTTCAGTTTGAAGCAGGATGGGAAAGCAATATTCCTTCGGTTAACTTACTGGTTACTAAACAAAAAGCAAACCTATCAAATCCATAGAAGTCCCGTAATGAAATGTCACAGCAGACACATTTGCTTGAAGATCAAGTAGGAGCTGTACGCAATCAAAATATCCATTCAAAGCAGCCATATGGAGAGCAGTGATACCACAATCCGCTACCTTATTTACAAGTTTGGATAGAGCACTGCACTGGAATAGAATGGATAAGTAGCAAGAAATATATGTGTAGATCAAATGATTCTGTACAATCTAAAGTCACCCGGTAAGCATAACCTATCCGATAACGGTTTGTTTGAAAGCTAAACAAATATAAATATCTAGGCGATATAACTCCAGCAAGAATTTGGATGGGCTAAACAGAGTTTGCATCTATTAACATAGTGCACGGAAAACTTCATGCAGAAAAAGAATTTAGTGACTTTGCTGCTTTGAATCCGTAGAAATGGAAAGCAATCCCATATCATTACTCTTTTCCATTATTGCTCCAATCATGAAAGAATTTACATTCATAATAAATCTTCTTGACAAAGAAAACAGAAGCTACCACATACCTTTGCTCATTTTTGTTCACGGCATTTGCACTATCACCTCTGTCGCTATCTGTCTGAGTGGTCAGAGATTCATAAGGAGCACTTGGAACAAAGTCAGCCACGACTAGTCTTATACATCTTACATGCCCATTTACAGCAGCAAAATGAAGAGCAGTCCTGCCAGTAAGATAGTCTGCTCTTGCAACCTAGTACAAAGGAAATACTATGATTAAATATTGGATCGCGAATCAAATTTTTTTCCCGAAGCATAACTGATATATCTAGCTTCACTATGAAAGATTAATTACTCAAATATTAGAATCCAGTTAAATAGCAACCAAAAAAGTAAAGAGACAATCAAAACTTACATTGCATCTGAAGAGCAAGAGGGTCTGTACAACTTCCCAGTGTCCATATCGGCACGCTTGCATCAATGCTGTCTTTAAACACAGAAATCAAATAACTAAATCAACATTCGTATCAAACTCGGAAAGACAATTCCGTTGCACGTAAAGGAAAATATCCCAGCCGCGTTTTCCCTATCTATCTACTTTCGTTAGAATGAAATCTGTCGCCTTAACAAACTTAAGCATGAAATTAGTTCAATCTCCCATGAGCTTCAATTTTTTCGATAAGATGGTTCGATTTATGCGAAAAAGCAAACCAATCACTAACCTTTCTAACCAGATCAATACCCAAATGCCAAATTTACTCTAATGGGGATCCAAAAACACAAATTTAATTACTGTATGACAAACAATAAAAAATTAAATGAGAAAAAACACCAACTTTCGTACCTGCCCGCAGTAATTCCTGGAATTGGCATCAGCTCCATTCTCCAGCAGCAAAGAAACAATCTGAATCAAACCCAGAAAAGAAAACCCAAATCAGAAATCGCATAACCAATAAAAATAAAAAAAACAACCCAGGAAAGGAAAGAGGAAGAGAAGACGGAAAAAGCACCTCGTTGTGGCCTTTAGCGGCGGCGAAATGGAGAGGAGAGTTGAGGCCGCCGAAGGTGGAGTATTTGGCAAGGCAAGGATTGCAATCCAAGAGCATCTTGGCCTCGACTACATCGCCGTCTCTCGCCGCCGAAACCAGCCGTTCGCCGGAGGCAGAGCACCCGAATGAATTGCCCATTTCTTTCCTCTCAACCTCCGCCTCTATCTCTCTCTACCTATAAATACGAAAGCGTGTGGAATTTGGAAAATAAATTGAAAAAGAAAAGGATAATTTAGGTCAACCGTCGTGGAAGAACGACAAATGGGACGGAAAAATGGAGGATTTTGGAGTTGGGGGTTTGACTTTGCTTGGGAGTAGTGTGCTGGTTTTGACAGACAATCAATGGAGATGAGAAGGAATGACGAAGGTGTGGTGGGCCTTAGGCCTACTCAAAAATATATGAAATGCGATTTTATCTAATAATTTTCTTTTTAATCCGTTTATCATCGACAACTGTTGTTCACGAGATGTAGATCAATAATTTCTTTATATAGAGTGGAGATTTAGATCGATTATTGTCAGCATCAATGATACGTTTACTCACTTATCGATTATTGTCAGCATCAATGACATGTTTACTCACTTGGATTCACTCATAAATTGAGGAGGTCGTGAAATGATTTGGTCAATCATTTTTTTTCAGTTTTAAGGTAAATTACGAGTTGAAAGAAAGAAAAAAAAAGAATGTATCAAATAAATTTTAAGGAACATGTTTATAGAGAAGTTAGTTTTTAAGCATATACTATTTTTTTGTAGATGTTATTTCTTCTATTGGTTACAATGTCGACAATATTTGTATGTGGGGTAGGATGCACGAGGGCACGCCAAGCATTTGTTTTTTACTATTTTTTTCTTTATTTTTGTAAGTTTATTTCGTACCAAATGTTTTCGTGTAAAAGTTATAAATTAGAATAATAAAAAAAAACAATATATGGCTCGTTTACTTATTAATAATGAGTGTAAAAAAGGAAGCAAATGGTCCCCTACAAATTTCTCAATTAAATTTTTGGAAATTCTTGGCTGTGAAGAATGAAGATTGATTCAAACTCACCGGTGACTAATTTTACGTTTAATCTAACAAAATTTATCGTTTGATAAAAAAAAAAAAAACAAA